CCCTACTACTGAAACAAAACTTGGGGCTAGTTGTAACATACAAAAATTATATACAGATTCAATGAAAGAAATTCGGTGGCATTTATAGTTTATAAGATGCGTGCAAATGTAAATTGTGTTACAGGAGACAATCTATTTTTTATTTGAATTAATTATAGTTTGCGCTGATTTATGAAAAGAATTACTTAGAAACAAGTCTTTTTTTTAAATAAAAAACGAATAAATCATCAGAAGTATTATTGTCGTTTTAGTCGTTATTATTTGTTTTTATAGACGTTACAACTTGCCGCAAACACAGGGCAAGTTTTAGCACCTCACGTTTTTCTCGAAATTAGTTAATTGTGAAATAATGAACAACAGTTGAGAAATTATTTTCACTTGATTTGATAGCGAAATAGTTACAGCAACTATCCATCTTTATTTTGTGGAAATATAACTGGTGAATATCAAGAGGTATTAATTAAAAAGAACTGTTACAACTGGCAGTTGCAACACTAGTTAACATAGCTCCCCTATATTACTTACGTGGTTAAATCTAAATTGAAGTTATTTATACAATGTTTGCACAGCAACCGAAATTCTTCAAAAAATTACAACATACATATTATAAAAGTTTTTATTCCTGTCAGAGGAAAATATTATCTCATATCCCATGAAATTCTCTGAAGTTTATAAAAGTTTTTTTGTTAATTACATGTCAGAAATCGTTATGACACAGCCTGACGGCAAGAGAATGCGCGTAATTGTCTTTTAATTATATAACAAACAAAACATTTACCAAAATTTACTGGGAATTAGAGAAAAGTTTGAATATTATTGTAAAAAAATATGCTAACAATCATGCCAAACTTAGCATTTTATCATGTAACTTTATATTGTATTTCATACGTGCTATGAATCAATTACAAGATTATAAAATATTGTTAAGTTTATAAATGTTATGTATATATATATATATATATATATATATATATATATATATATATATTAGGGCGGGTCGATTTGTATGGGTAAAAAAAGTCACGTAGGCACATAAGATTTTTATATACTAGGTATCAAAATAAGATACTTTGCCAAAGAAACCATATCTCTAAAATGAATTCTGATGTTCCGTGCATTCATCCAAAGATTGGGTCAAATTTTAAAAAAATCCTGTTTTGGCTCATTTAGAGCGCCTCAATAATGTCCAAATGTATGACCGACCCCCAGTAACTTTGGAAGGCCGATCTACCTATGCCTATGGTTTAACCCCTGGGACCTCCCTTCAGAGGTCCCTCATACAAAAGTTGCATCATTTTGGGTACTTCAAATGATAAGCGGTTTTTTGTAATTTTTTCCATTTATTTCTACAATCTAACTATATTTCTATGAATCAAAAAATCCTAAAAAAATTCCTTAACAAACTTAAGACAGATTTATTAAAATCCGAATAATAGTTTAGAAGGATTATTCTTTCATACACCATTACAAAAGAATTTTATATATAAGATCTATATATACAAATTGACAACATACATGTAAATTCCTTGTAGAATACGCGCGTCGCCCAATTTAATAACTTATAACTTATAACCCCAACACTTATAACTGTTAACACTTATAACTATTTGACATAGATAAACAAGTATGAGCTATTTTTGATTATGTTTGATTCAATTGTTTTTAGTTATTAAATAATTTTTATTGAATAAGAAGCGCCTGATTTGAATGATTTTTTTTTATTAACTTTCTAAATAGCAATCAGAACGAGTTACAATTCTATAAGCTATTGTGATGCATGTAACTCAAATACAGTATTTGAGTTCAAAACAAAAATATAAATAAAGTGTAAAAATAAAATTGTTTAGAAAACCCCCCAGTTGGAGTTTCTAAAATGATCATTCAAATTAAGTCAGCTGGTTGCTTTTTCTTTAGTCTTCTTGCATCCGCGGTGACGAGCAGTGGAGAAATAGTAACGTTCTTGTGCTTGTGAAGTCTGGCAAAGCGGGATGTACTTCTAGCTTTTACAACTTCTTGGACCTTTTCTATATTTAAATCATTATGAATTATCTCGTTAGAAACGAACCATGGTGCATTTGTGATTGGTCTAAGAATTTTGCTCTGTTTCCTTTGAATGGCAGATATACGCGTTTTGCTGGCGCACCCCTAGAGTTCAACCCCGTAGCACCATATCGATTTTCGAAGCGGTCTTGAAGGCGTTAAATATAAATTTTAAATTTTAGTTTAAAAATGTATATATTTCATATGCGTTGTTCTGAGAAATATGAAAAGAGTTTCAGGTAGATTCATTTGGCATCTCTTCTTGATGTAAACATTCTTAAGTGTTTTGTGCGATAAGATCATCACTGCATATTATATGAACGATAAAATATATAGTAAATATAATTATCTTTTTGAAAATATTTAAAACAATTGTTATTAATTATCGATCAATATTTATTGATTATTGATTTTTTTCTTTTTTTCAAATTTAATTTTCGTACGGGAAGTTCCAGAAATTTGCCTTCAGACACGATGTCATGCACCAATAGTTTTTTTTTTATAAAAATCTCTTGTTGCAAAAACTGTTCCAATGTTACCGAGACTGTTACATGGTTGTTTGTGTTTATTTGTAGAGAACACAGCCAGGTGCACAGCGTTTGTAGAGAACACTTGATTCGATTGCAGTGATCTTATTGGAAATTGTACTGCTTTAAGTCGGAAAATAAACAATTACGACGACTTTGTACAGTACAGTACTCGATTAAAATGATTGCTGCTAAAAAACTTTATATATTAAATTTTTGAAACGAAATTGAAATAAATCGTAATTATCTATTGAAATATAGGTTTTAAAACTACATTTAATTATATTATACTATAATATATATATATATATATATATATATATATAATATATATATATATATATATATATATATATATGCTATATGCATACTATATATATATATAGTATATAAAGTAAAGGAAGTAATACAATTAACTTCCGGGCATAGCCCGTCCGCCAACTATTACTATCTATATATTACCTATCTCTGCGAACTTGGCCATTCATATCCATGATCTTGATCATCGTCATTTGTATATACCCAAAAAAAAAGGTGAATCAAGCAAAGCACTTGTTCACTTTTTATCTCAATGTGAATCATAATATTATAAAGAAAAGAATAATGTTTGCATTATATAGTTTACAAATGTGCTTTCAAAATTTATTACTTGTATTAAACTTTTTTTTTAATTCGTTCGTCCGTTTTCACAAGACGACCGAGCTGTTTCTTTAGAATCAGAAGAAAATTGCAAAATTTTTTGTCTAGGTTTTTTTAAAACATCCTGAACCGATTATAAAAAACTGATTGTATGTGAAAAATTGACTGATTAGTTTTTGTTAGTAAAGGCGACTGAACTGTTTATTTGTAATTAAAGCTCAGTTTTTTTGCGTTTTTAATTAAATTTAGCATGGCGTTAGAGTTCATACGAATAGTGGTTCACAAAGTTCAAAATATAATATTTATATTATGTAAGTAAGATATTATAAGTGTGTTCAAAAAAATATTAATTTTAAATTGCATTGATCAGTTTATAGCAAAATCGAAAACTTTATTTTCGTAATCAATTGTCAAATATCTCAATTTCAATCAGTAATGATTAAAATTTTTTATAGCTATCGGAAAGTTCATGCAACTTAGGCCAAAATGCTACCTATATCTAGTTTTAGTTTGTAGAATCTTTTAATAGATTTAATATATATATACAGTATATGTATCCTGTTTAGCTCAAGTCAAAAGTGTTGAATAATGACTTAAAACAAGGTTAGAAAAGAAAGTATGATATAAAGAAAAGAATTGATTTATAGTAAAAAATAAAGAGAAGAAAATGGTTTTGTTTTCAAATTTTTTGTTTAAGTATGAAAAAAGTTTTTAAAATGTGACAGAGCAAGACGTTATTAGCGTTGCGATTGTTTTACAAAATTATAAGGAATTTTTATTTTTAACTTCCCGTAGGGCAAGTTATAGTAATTGCAAAAAAATCGAAAATGAAAATTTTTACATATCTTTACGTTTCAAAATCTTTTGAACATTTTGGCATATCTTAGAAAAAATGGATGTATATGTGTGTGTGTGTGTGAATGTGTGTATGTGTGTGTGCGTGTATGTGTGTGTGTGTGCGGATACAAATTTTCGTCGACGATTTCGGGAACACGGATGAAGCCATTTGAATAATTCAAAAAACATTCGATTTGTATTGATAAATAAACGTGCTGATTAGTTTTTGGCAAAGGCAGGTCTAGCCGTTCCGAAGATACGGGGCAAAAAGTGCCAAAAACGGTAAATCAGTTTTTAAGAGAACGGAGCGTCTGATTTGAATAATTCAAAAAACATTTTACTTGTATTAACAAGATGAAGAACTGATCAAATTTTTATAAAGTCAGGTCTAGCGGTTTCGGTGATCTAGTAAAAAAAGTAAAAAAAAATGCCATTTGGCGGCCAAAAATGATCATTAGTCATATGCCCATCAAATAATCAGATATTTTATAGAGATTTTAACAATAAGTATAAATTTTGTTTACATTCCTATGGGTTCCGTACTAATGTTTATCCGTTAGGCGACGACGCGGCGCTTACGGGCTTCGATATATTGTCTCTATGCAGTTAAAGCAGTACGATTGCTTTGAAAAAAAGTTCAGAATTTCCAAAATATTTCAAAATAATTTTTTTTTCAAAAAGTCTTTTTTTTTAAAAAAAAAAAAATATTTTTTTTCAAAAATTTATAGTTTTTTAAAAATCCAATTTTTTCAGAGTAAATTTTTTTCAAAAATGTTAATCTTTAAAAATAAAAAATTTTGGTACGGGAAGTTTCAGCAATGTGTCTTAAGGCACGATGCCACGCGCTCCACTAGTTTTACTCTCATTTTTAACGAACGGAAAGCAATAATAAATATGACGATATTACTTGTCTGCATCGATATAATTGTAAATTGATTATTGTTTTCCCTGTTCCAGAACCCAGTTGCCGGTGCCCATGTTCAGTCGCAATGACTTCAGCGTGTGGTCCGTGCTGAAGAACTGCATCGGCAAGGAGTTGAGCAAGATCACGATGCCGGTGGTGTTCAATGAGCCCCTGAGCTTCTTGCAACGGATGGTCGAGTATCTGGAGTACGCCCATCTGTTGCGACTCGCTTCCGAACAACAGGACCCCGTCAAACGCATGCAATTTATAGCCGGTATCATATCAACTATAATACTCTTTTAACACATAAGATAGATATATCTTATAATCGGGCATAAAATCTATTATTAATATAAATTAATAATATGAAGTTTATTTTAAAAGTTCTAGTCTTCTTTCAGTGGAACTAAAATTAAATTTTAAAACTACAAGACTATGATATCTACCGTTAAAATTTTTTTTATAAAGATCGTCGATTTTTATTTAAACTTTATTACAAGAAAACGGCCCGGCCGATCTTTACAAAAACTAATCAGGACGATTCCCAACCTACATCTATCGAACAGTTTTTGAATTTTCAAAATCGATTCAGAATTGCGGGCTAAAACGTGGACGAAAAATTTTTCACTTTTCATCGATTTACAAAGAAACGGCTCGGCCGATCGTCGCACAACGCTAGTCCTCATCGAGATACATCGAATGGCTTTTAATTTTTTGAAATCAGTCCAGACGTTTTTAAGGAAACGTTGATTTGCGGCAAAAAATCTGTTCACATACACATACACACACACATACATACTTTTTCCAAATTTGGTCTCATTCTATTCAATGCAATTCACAAGACCCTGCAGTGACTGCTTCAAAGCTGGTATGTAGTCAAAATCAAAATATGCCCAAACAATTAACTAAGGTTCAAACATACAATACGGAAAATATTTGTACAACTAATCCGAGACATTCGTGGCAACTTGGTACAACAAAAAAAATTGTACAAAGTAAGAAGCGTAAATTATCTGATGATACTAATAGCACTCCGGTTACTCTGTCAAATAGATTCGAACCGCTAAATAGCATAAATCAGTTGCCAAGCACTATTATCAATACTACCAATAATAATGATTTCTCAACAACCAACCAGAGACCTCCACCGATTTTTATTTACGGCGTCCTCAATTATAAAGATATGATGGACGAAATCAACACTATTATTGATCTCGAACAATACACTTTCCGCTCCTTAAATAATAATGTAACTAAATTAATGTGTCAGAATTCTGATGTTTTCAGAAAACTAACTAAACATTTGCGTGCAACAAATGTTATTCATCATACTTATCAACTAAAAGAGGAAAGGGCGTATCGTGTTGTAATCAGGTATTTACATCATACCACAGATATTGCAGAAATCAAGAATGAGTTCGTGAAGATAGGTCATGAAGTAAGAAATGTTACAAATATACTACACAGAGAAACTAGGAAGCCACTAAATTTATTTTACCTTGATCTTGAACCCGCAAAAAATAACAAAGACATATACAGCGTAACAAAGATTCTTAATAACATAATTCGTATAGAACCGCCACACTATAATAAATCCGTTGTGCAATGCAAAAGATGCCAACAATTCTTTCACACTCAACGTTACTGCAATAAGCCGTTTACTTGTTCCCGTTGTGGTAACAATCATACTACATCAGACTGCAAGAAACCTGAAAATGTATTAAATTTTTGTACAAATTGCGACGGAGATCATGCAGCTAGTTATCGTGGATGCCCAGCATATAAGAAGGTATATAATCAAAAATTTCCAAAAATGAATCATAATACACCACAAACGTTTATGAACCAAAAATCCAACAACAGACATACGGTTAATCCAACTATTACCACTAACCCGTACCCGAATCTAAATCCAAATCAGATCGCTAATCAAGGTCACCCTCGAACATATGCACAGGCGTTAAATAACAACGTTAATCCAGAGTCTGCTTCAGGCATATCTGCAAGCTTCGCTCAGTTCATGCACGAATTCAAACAGATGTTTAATCAATTAATTCATCAAAATGGTGTGGTTTTAAACCTGCTAACAACTTTATTAAATAAAATTAATCCGTAATGGCTAAATTTATAAGAATTGCACTTTGGAATGCCAATGGGCTCCTACAGCACAAGCTAGAATTAACTACTTTCCTTACCTTGAATCACATTGACATAATGCTAATAAGCGAGACCCACTTCACTAGCTTCTCTTTCTGCAAGATTCCGAATTACACACTACACTATTGCAATCACCCGGATGATACGGCTCATGGAGGATCAGCCATACTTATTCGAAATACAATAGTTCACACCGAACTTCCTCCGTACCAAAAAGAACACCTACAAGCAACAACAATACTTGTCAGTATGCATCTTTACAAATTATCAATCTCAGCAGTGTACTGCCCTCCACGACATAATATCAAGCAAACAGATTTTGAACAGTTTTTCCATCAATTGGGTGCGAAATTTCTTGTAGGTGGTGATTTTAACTGCAAGCACACTTCTTGGGGATCACGTCTGATCACAAGCAAGGGTAATGAGCTCCTGAGAACCTTAAATAATAATAATTATTCATTTCTGTCCACTGGAACCCCGACATATTGGCCTAGTGATCCTCAAAAAATACCAGACCTGCTCGACTTCTTTATTTTGAATAACATAAATGAGAACGTGACGAACAGTTCATATTAAGCCATCATACGATTTATCCTCAGATCACTCTCCAATTGTTTTAACTATAGGAATCACAGTTATACAAAAAATAAATTCAAATATATTACATAGCAAATATACAAATTGGGAAACATTTCGAGAAGTTTTGAAAGAGCGAACAAATTTACATATCAGTCTCAAAAGCGATGCTGAAATTGACAAGGCTACTGAAGACTTGCTTCAACACATTAAGACTTCAATTCAAGAAGCAACTCCTAAAACTCAAGCATCACCTGCATTCCAAGATATTCCGTTGGAAATCAAAGAACTTATTCGGAAAAAAAGACGTGCTAGAGCTAAATGGCAACAAAATCATAGACCTGACGATAAAAATACATACAATAAACTTTGCAGAGAACTTAAAAGCAAACTTAGGCAAGTCAGAAATGAAAATTTTGAAAAGTACATTAATAATCTATCCAGATCAGATAACTCGATATGGAAAGCAGCTAGTAATGTGAAGAAGCCTAAATTCTTTTCTTCACCTATTAGAAACAGTGCTAATGATCCTTGGGCAAGAAGTGAAGAAGACAAAGCGCACCTATTTGCTAAATACTTGTCTAATGTTTTTAAACCATTTGATTCCACCATTGATAAAGAGATTGAAGAAGAATTGCTTAAACCTCTACAGTCTTCACAATCTTTCAAACCTATTAAACCCAAAGAAGTCAACTCTCAAATCCAGATGTTAAATACAAGAAAATCGCCTGGTTTTGACAAAATAACAGCAAGGGCGTTGAAAGAACTTCCTAAGAAAACGATTGTTTTAATAACTTATATATTTAATGCCATACTAAGAGTAGAGTATTGGCCAAAATCATTTAAGACTGCCCAAATATTAATGATTCCTAAAAAAGGCAAAAACTTGACTGAGGTATCTTCATATAGACCAATATCCTTGCTTCCCGTAATATCTAAACTGCTTGAAAGGATCCTTTTGGACCAAATCAACAACGAGCTTCCTTCAGATTGGATCCCCTATCATCAATTTGGCTTTAGACGTGAACATTCGACCACACAGCAAGTTCACAGGGTTATTGATACTGTACACAAGTCATTTGAAAATAAGCAATTTTGTAGTGGTGTCTTCCTGGATGTTCGACAAGCATTCGATAAAGTTTGGCACCCAGGACTTTTATATAAAATAAAAACATACCTTCCAACCAGGTATTATGGGATTTTAAAATCCTATCTACAAGATAGGATTTTTCAAGTGAAAGTAAATCAAGTAACATCTGATTTTCACAAAATAATGTCAGGAGTTCCACAAGGTAGTATTTTTGGACCCTTCTTATATGTTTTATACACAAAGGACTTCCCATTACTTGAAAATCTGACAATTGCTACATTCGCTGACGATATTGCCATACTAAGCAGTAATCATAGTGCTGATCAAGCTTCCCGACAAACGCAAGAACTTATCAATAAACTACAAATGTGGCTTGCTAAATGGAAGATTTGCATAAATGAAACCAAATCAGTTCATATCACATTTACCCTGAGAGAGGGTACGTGTCCTCCAATTTATTTAAATAACGTCCAGATTCCGAAACAGAACATAGTGAAATATCTTGGTCTCCATTTAGATAGCAGACTTACTTGGAAAAGCCATATAAAAACAAAAAAGCAGCAAATAATGATCAAAATGAAAGAATTTGATTGGCTACTGCGTAAAAAGTCAAAGCTTTCTGTCGAAAATAAGTTGCTGCTATATAAATCGATTATTAAACCAATCTGGACCTACGGAATTGAGCTCTGGGGATGTGCTTACAAATCTAATGTAGCTATAATGCAGAGAACTCAATCAAAAATTTTACGTACAATTCTTAATTCTCCGTGGTATGTGACAAATGAAACCATTCACAGCGACCTCAATATGAAAACGGTGCAATTAACGTTTAAAGAAGTTAAGGAAAAATATAAGCGCAAACTGGACTCACATATGAACCCTTCTATAGTTGACATTACTCAACCTTTTGGCATTAGGAGGTTGAAACGACAATGGCCCTTAGACTTAGTCTTAGATTAGGTCTAATATACCATATTAATTGTAAAACTGTGAAGTTCTCATTGGAGTTCTTCTTAGGCATCACTCATAAATATTGTCTTTTTAGCTCATAGGAATCTTTATGTATTTCTGATTGCTAAATAAAACTGAGTCAAAAAAAAAAAAAAAAAAAAAAAATCTATTCAGAATGGCTTGAAACGTCAAGAGAACATAAAATTAGCGAATCGGATTTTTTGATGAAAACATAAACTTCTTCTTCGGGAAGTTAAAAATAACTAAATTTTTACTATATTAGTTCTTTGAAAGAAGTTAAAGAAGAATTAATAGTTTTAATTCAAGAGATATAGTTCATTTATTTGGAACCATGATCATAAACGTAAATATTTTCAACGGTATAAGAATCATAAAATCACGAACACCACTTACAATTACTCTCAACATAAATAATCTATATGACGAACATGAATAGTGGTACGATTAATATTAGTTATTGAAACTTTTAACTATAAATATTCGATTCTAAATATTTGTATGCGACTTTACATACGAAAATCCTTGTTAGAAATTATACTTTATTATAAACAAGGCTTTGAACCGAACCCGAACCGGAGCAAAAACTGGAACGAATCGGCTTGTTCTTCCGAACCGTTCCGAAATGGGGAACGTTTTTTCTCTGCCGGGCTGGAACCCGAACCGAAACGAGACTAATACGAGCATCGGTTTTCGAAGCGATTTTTTTTTAAATTTTATCGTTCCGGCAGGGCCGGATTTAGAAATTTGGCGCCCTGGGGCAATGACAAATATGCCGCCCCATCCATGAAATTTTACTTAAATTGTCTTTATATATTGTTCCCGTACCAAAAATAAAAAATAATTTTTTTTTTTTTTTTTTGAAAATTTTGAGTTTTTTTTATATTTTGAAATTTTGAACTTATATTAAAGCAATTGCGCTGCTTCAGCAGCGTAGAGACAAAATATAGATGCACGTAAGCGTCGCGTCGCAGTCTAACAGAACCCATAGAAATGTAAACAAAATTCATACTTTATTATTAAAATATCTATAAAATATCTGATAATTTGATGTGCATATGTCTAATGATCACTTTTGACCGCCAAATGTTTCTTTTTCAATTTTTTTTTATTGGATCTCCGAAACCCATAGACCTGCTTCCCACAAATTTAAACAGTTCTTCATTTTCTGATATTGGATGCTCCGTTTCTCTAAAACTGAATCACCGTTTTTGGCATTTTAGCCTAATACAGGTTACCAAAATAATTAAGAAGTTTGTAACAATCTCAGAAACTTAAATCTTCGATTAAAAAAACTGATTAGTTTCTGGCACAGGCAGGTCCAGCCGTTTCGAAAAATTGTAATTGAGGTTCGATATTTCCTCTCTGAAACAGCTACGCAGTGCGATTGCTTTGAAAAAAGTTCATAATTTTCATTTTTTTCATTTTTCCAAAAATTTTAAAGCTCTTTATAAAATGTAATTTTCAGTACGAGAAGTTCCAGTAATTTGCCTTAAGGAACAACGCCACTAGTCACTATTAATTTTTTTTTTTTGGCGTGGTCAAAAAGCTTGTAAGTGCACAAATTTGTCGTCTTAAGAGGGCTCGAGATCTGAAGAACATATTTTTCTTAAACTCTCAGCTCATATACGACACTTTATTTTAGCCAAATTGCCAAATTGCCAAATTATTAACTATTATTTGATAATTTACGTTCGGAGAGGGAGACAAGCAAAATAATAAATTTTAATAATCGGTTATTTGGACCCAAATTTCGCATTGCAATCGTATTATGTTTTGTTAATTATAGTTCTTGAAATAAAAAATGCGGCGAGCATAGCTCATTGGTAGCGTGTTCGATACACACGATCAATGACTTAGAATTTATCATAAAAAATATGTGTAGTTAATTTGAAATCAAATAAAAATTGTACATATTTGTTAAATAGGAGAAAATTAGGAATAACAGAATTCGAATAGTTGAATTGAATTAGGAGTAAGAAGAGAAGTATTGGAGCTTGAAAGAAGAATGAAGAATTGAAGAAAATAAGAAGAAAAATTAAGAAGAATATAGAATAGGGTACATAAATAGATTGAAATTGATATAAAAATTAGAATGCAAATAAATAAAAATGTTGTAGGTGGCTAAATGCTCAGAGTAAGCGAGGCCAAATAAAAAAAAAATGTTATTAAAAAAAATAGTTAATTACATTGTATAGCATTTTTTTCTCACTATCCAAATTTTGCCGCCCCTGAAAATCTGCCGCCCTGGGCAGTAGCCCCGACTGCCCCTACTGTAAATCCAGCACTGCGTTCCGGTAAAAAATAGCACAACTGTTAATTTTTATTAAGTATTAATTGCATAGGAGTAAGTGAGTTATATGAGTTATCTCTAAAACAGTTGGAGCTATAATAGAGGACTTTTTAAATAGTATATTTCTATCAAGTGTCAATTTAATTTAAATAATTTAATTGAATCGAGCTTATAGAGGTTCTATATATAGAATTCCCAGTACTCAATGTTAAACCGACATGGGGGGGTGTCAGGATTGATTGTAACCATCATGAATTTTTTTTGATAATTTTGCACATTCAACCAAAACCTAAACTTTGTTCAGACTGTATTGACTTTTTGGTTATTGTGGTTAAATTTTATTACTTTATATATATATATATATATATAAGGAACGCGGCAAATTGCAGAGCTATAATTATTGAGATAGAAAGAAAAAACGAAAGGAATATTACATCATAATATAATCATTTGTTTCATAAATTGAATATAATTTCCGCAATCAATAGAATCAGACGCGAATAATAAAACATTTAATAAATATAAATGTTAATAATAAAAAAACGAATAATAAAAATATTAATAAATATAAAACAATTCTTTGATTAATCATTATTCATGTTTAATGATAATACAGAACCACAAAATAAAAAAAAGTTGTCTGTATTGGATTTGCGACATGTGTTGTCCAATGTTTTCGCTGAACGCGAATCTAAAGACAAAATTGGGGGTTAAACTATTCCATTATAAGCGTTGCAGAAATTTTTGCACTCACTTATGGTAAAAAAGGTCAGGAAACGACAGAAAATATAAGTTTTTAATTATCATGCAGAAGAATTACTAGATCGGAGATTTTGTATTTTTTATATTTTTCGTTTTTGCAGTTTGACCCCCTATTTTTACTTGAGCTTCGTGTTCAGCGGTAAAAACTACATTGAAAATGTATGCCGCACACCCAATACGGTCATTTTTTTGCGGACCTGTGTAATTCATATTTTATAAAAGATAAATAATTATATAATATAATTGGGTTTTCTTGTGTTTATGTGTGCGAATTATTTTAAATTATTTTTTTTCCTAAAAATAATTTTAAATCTTCAGTTTTAGAATGCAATTTAACCATTGGACTTTAAAAAGCTTGTCAGAACCACTCCTTATATCGCATTGCAAATTTATAACTATAATTTTCTCAAATTCAATATTCAAAACGTTTTTTCTTAGAAATTTTGCAGATTTCTATGGCAGCACTGTGTTCAAATTTATTTCTTTATAAACCTTACATGCAACTAAAATTTAGGCTTGTTATCTTAGCTGATTATTTCTTACCATTTTTGAAATCAGACCGACGTCACATGAGCAAATTTTTAAACAAAAGTGTTAGACAAGTAAGGACGGGAATAATATGATCCATTAAGCACTTCTCGCAAAGATAATAGAATGTGCATGAAAATATTATCATTGCGTTTGAAAGATATAAGTAATTATTTAATCACTCCAGGTTTTGCTGTGTCTGCGTTGGCTTCAAATTGGGAAAGGCTCGGCAAACCGTTCAACCCTTTACTTGGCGAGACATATGAACTGGTGCGACCAGAGTTCCGTATCATATGCGAACAGGTGTCGCACCACCCTCCAGTGTCCGCTTTCCATGCAGACGCCCCCGATTTCATATTTCACGGATCCATTCATCCTAAACTGAAATTCTGGGGAAAGAGCGTCGAAATCCAACCGAAAGGACAGGTATATTGAAAGACTTATATGTTGTTATTCTCGTTTCTCTGTAAGAGAAAATACATTTATTCATGACATATATTAAGTATGGCGCGTTTGAAATTTAGCAGACGTTTTTCTGATTTTTTGGTAGATTTTGATATATTGTTTATTATGTTTTATGCTATAGCAGTTAATTACGTTGTTACGATCAAAATATACAATAATTTTCGTATAAAACTACTATACACGATTTTCAATTGAAATCTAGCGATTATTATACTATATATGCAATTATATCTAAAATATTGCGGTGAAACAAAAGCACTTACGACCAAGCACATAAATTTCCTAGGAATACTAAATCATTTATAGAGTTACGAGTCGTAAAATAACAATCTCCATACTGCAATAATTAAACTAGTTGGTATTGGTATTTTGCCTTGAGTCAAGTTACATGAACTTCCCGAAATGTGTGTATAATCGACTTAATCAATAAAAAATAAATTAATTTATGAGTGATTAAAAGTATTCCGAGTGGATTTATTACACATAATTGAAAACGAACGAACACGTTAACTCGGAGTATTTTCTTAAAGCAAAAATCAACAATTTTTATAATTAAACCAGTATCCGTAGGACTTTAATGATTTAGTATGTTTAATAAGACCAGGTACTCTATCATTATACCAAGTAAATCGTCTAATTTTAATTTTAACAAACGTCAAAAATAATTTCTCTTTTTCTCAAACTTTGAATGAATGAATTTTTAAAATTAAACTACTCGTATTAATTAAAATCGTAAGGCCGTAATAATTCAGTAAGTTCTATAAGACCATAGTACATATCGCCAAAAAAAGTTCCATAAAAATCGGCTTAATTTTTTTTTCAACAGTTACAAGAAAACGGCTCGGTAGATTTTCACCTAAAACTAATCTGTATCATTCCCAACTAATGTCTTTCGAACAGTTTTTGATTTTTTAAAATCGATTCGGTAGTATGAGCTTAAATGTGGACGAAAAGTTTAACACTTTTTTGCAAATTACAAAGAAACGGCTTAGCAGATCGTCGCACAAAACTGACACACGATAGTCCTCATCGAGATACATCAAATGGTTTTTAATTTTCTGAAATCGCTTCCGGCGTTTTTGAGAAAACGTCGATGAAAGGTCTAATTTTGACAAATGCCAAAAAAACGATACCAATTATTGCAAACTTTGACGAATTTTTAAAGTTAAACCAATTGTCGTAGGGCCGTAATATTTTAGTATGATCTAGAAGACTATGGTATCTACCGTAAAAAAAAATTAATAAAAATCGTCTAAAAAAATATTTTTAACACTTTATTACAAGAAAATGGCCCGGCCGATCTTTACCAAAAACTAATCAGCACGATTCCCAACCAATATCTTTCGAACGGTTTTTGAATTTTCATAATCGATTCAGAATTGCGGGCTAAAACGTGGACGAAAATTTTTTTACTTTTATGCTATTTATAAAGAAACGTCTCGGCCGATCATCACACAAAACTGACAAACGATAGTCCTCATCGAGATACATCAAATGCCTTTTAAATTTTTGAAATCCATCCAGCGTTTTTAAGAAAACGGTGATTTACGCCAAAAAATCTGTTGGTGCACACGCACACACACACACATACTTTTTCCAAATTTGGCTCATTCGATTCAGAATGGCTTGAAACGTCGAGAAAACATAAAATTAGCGAATCGGATTTTTTTATGAAAGCATAAACTTCTCCTTCGGGAAGTTAATAAATATTTGCTGCAATATCGTGATATATATTAAATAGAAATAAATTCTTTAGATTTCAAATCTGCCGCGAAGTTCTCGAGTTTTCTTCAGAAAATTAACTTTTTTTTCGAATAATCATAGTACACAAATTTCACGAGTGAGAATGGTTGTTGAGAGTTTACTACTATATTCCGGGGAATAATATACACTGTTCCGGGAATTCTCTATCGAAATGATTTCGCCATAAAATTTATGGTATAGGTGTGGATGCGAAGCTGGTCGATAAACAGATAAAGTTTATCTTATCATGCTGTATATATTTTATATATATTTCTACAGTTATATACAGTCTACATATCTACTAGAACATGAACAAGGTGTAAAAATGTATTATTATTATTTGTTTTTAAAACAAAAATATCAATTTAAAAAATTTATATGCATATATCCCATTACCTTACGATCAATAAAATTGTTTTGGTAAAAATATCTGATTTTGAATTATGATACAAAATTAAGTTAAGCATTTTAATAAATAATTAACATTATATATAAATATTTAAGGTGTTATTAACATACATAGAAAGAACATATATATATATATATATATATATATATATATATATATATATATAATTTAATTTTTTATATATAATTCGACGTAACGGGATACGTGTATGTGTTTATGAATATTTATTACAAAAAATACTCATCAATTGAGATATATAACTGAAAATGTAACTGCTTTTAGTTATTCCTATTAAATTGCAGATGAATTTCAAACGTTGGACTATTTGGAATATTAAAAAAAGTGAACTTACTTCTTAATTAGGGCTCGCCCGTAGCTAAGCGGTTAAGAGCGACGGGACTTGTTTCAGAGGTCTCGGGTTCGATTCCCACTTCGAGCAGCCTGTTGTCAGGCAACATTGACACTTGGAAATATAGATAGCAATATGTTTCCAAGTGAAAATAGCCCTCACCGGCATTGTTGCACCATACTTGTCTATTACAGAGATTGTAATAAAAATTTATCATACAGAGATGTGACAACTGTTTGGGTTGCCATCTGTAATAAAACAAACGTAGTTTGTAAGATATTAATTACAACAGCTCATAGAACCCGTTAGTTCTGATTGCTGTTCAAATAAAATTATAAAAAAAAACTTCTTAATTATCATCATAATATTTTTTATTAAATGGTGCCAGTGTACTTTGTTATTGACTATTATAATACGAGACACAAATATATATTAAATAGCATAATTATGTTATGATGTCAAATGAATACATATTTTAATTGTAGGTGACCGTAGAGTTACCTCGTTGGGGTGAGGCCTACACGTGGACCAATGTGAACTGTTGCGTTCACAACATTATTGTGGGTAAACTCTGGATGGAACAGTATGGAAGTATGGAAGTGGTCAATCATAGTACTGGGCATCGAGCATTGCTCACCTTCAAACCCGCCGGCTGGACTTCTAAGGATCTTCATCGCGTCGAAGGATTCATTGTCGACAAAAAGTTAGTATCTATTTTTATTATGGACATGATGCTCTTGTTGTTTTACACTTTTTTTTACATATTATTAACAGCAATTAGAACTTATTGACAACGTTCTTGTTTTAATGACGTGGCAACCTGCAATCTACCAGTTGACTTATATTTTTTTTTATTTTTTTTTATTGGCCTTGCTTACTCGAGCATCTAGCCACCTACATCACTATACTATACAATCATATATCCTATGTAATCTTTCAATTTTTTTTATACTATCTTCTTCATATAATCCTATTCTTTCTATATTTCTCAACTTATCTTAATTCTTCTTTAATCTCTTCCAACCACTTCTATTTTCTTCTTCTATATTTCTCATTTACATCTTCTAAACTCTTCTTACTTCAATTCATTTTAATTCTTATTCTCTAATTTTTTATACATTCTGATTATTTTTACATACATATCTTTTTATTACAGTTCATAATTCTATTATTATTCAAACTTAACTAATTTAATATTTTTCAAATTCTTGCCGGAGATTCGAACTCAGAACCTCCAGCATGTGAATCGGGAACGCTACTCTTGAGCTAATCCCGCTGCAACTTATCTTCTTAATCTCGTTTTCATGATTTTATTATTGGAATAATTCTAATACTGATGATTTTCTATTGGATACAGCAATGCCGGCAAGGGTTGTTTCTAAAGATATTGCTATCTATATTTTCAAGTAAAAACTGATATCGCTACTGCTTGACATGTCTGTTCGAGGCGGGTTGTCTTTTGCTCCCAAATGCTTTTTCGTTGGTTATTGATTTGATAGTATAAATATTATTTTGATAGTGAAATCAAATCATTTTACTATATGTATAACACTATTTAATTTATTAACCATATTCTGATACCGTGGATTATTCATGTTAGTGATTTTAAATATATTAGGATAGCAAATGTAAATTTTAACTCTTGGTTACGTTTAAACAGTATAACAATATCCCAATTTGGAATATTAATTAATAGGATATTATGGCTATCATGTAAAAAATATATAATTCTTAAAATAAAATTAATATCTTATACAAATTACTAAAAGATTACGATTAGTTAATTATTTAAATTAACAAAATAATTAAATTAATAGAAATATTATTGTTTTTGTAATCGTCTTTAATCGTAATTAGTTTTTTTATTCTTGATATAACAATTATTTTTCTCTGATATTTAATTTATTCTTTCTGACTACTTGTAGTTTTAATATACTCGTATCTGTATTAATGGTTATTTCTTTTAGTTGTTTTTGAGCAAAAATGAAAATCTTAATAAGTTTTACCGATAAATAATTGTATTGTAGAAATGAATTTGTATTTATGCAACCTTCGCACTATTTATTTTACTTATAAAATATCAAGAATAGAATTGAGCAAGGCATAAATGTCGGTGAGTAAAAAGTCAACCAACATCACCTCAAAAACGAGTAAAATTTATCATTTTTTAACAATACTATTATGAAGTAGAAGGTAAAAGATGTGTAACCAGCCATCATTTTAAATCTTACGGCACTATCAAGAATTAAACGACCATGTAATATGTATAATTATATCCAAAACAAAGTATTTTTTTCGTTTGTAGTTTTTTTTTCGGTTTTAAGCTCTTTTATTTATTTTATCAGACCTTAATATATTGTTTAAGTATACGTTACTTTATTATTTCATAAGATGCATTGTTGTTTTTATGTTAGATTCAACAGATTTTTTAATTCAACCTCTATAAAAGCTTACGTGTGGGTCATGTAAAAGCGACCACGTAAATCTTTACGCAGGCCTCAAATCGAAAATAAAAATTTGTATATATCTTTACGTTTCAAAACCTTCTGTACATTTTGACATACCTTAGAAAACAACATACCTGCGTGTATGTTTGTGTGTGCGGATACAAATTTTCGTCGACGATTTCGGGAACACCGATCAACCGATTTGAATAATTCAAAAAGCATTCGATTCGTATTGATAAGGAGACGTGCTGATTAGTTTTGGCGAAGGCAGGTCCGTTCCGAAGATACGGGGCAAAAAGTGCCAAAAACGGAAACTCAAGTTTTAAGAGAACGGAGCGTCCAATTTGAATAATTCAGAAAACATTCTACTTGTAAGATGAAGAACTGATCAAATTTTCATGAAGGCAGGTCTAGCGGTTAAAAATGATCATTAGCGGTTAAAAATGATATGCACATCAAATTATCATATATTTTATAGAGATTTTAACAATAAGTATAAATTTTTTATTTCGTCTCTTTGCAGTTAAAGCAGTACGATTGCTTTGAAAAAAAGTTCAGAATTTCCAAAATATGTCAAAATAAATTTTTTTGACAGGAAGGCACGATGACATGCGCCCCACTAGTCTTGAATAGTAAATAAACAAAGTCAAAAAATGCATTTTTGCTAGAGTTGAATTAAATTAATAGTTACTCTAACTATGAACATGAATATTTTTTATAAAATACCGTATCAAGGCTATATACAGTTTGATCTTTTTTGTTCGGTACGCGTTATGTGTAGTGATGCAGTTCATTTGGTTAAAATAGTATAATTACTGAAAGTCAAGTTGGACCTTTGTGCTTTGCTCTACTCTATATTAACAATATATTATAATATGTTATAATCATTTTATCATGCTTAATTAATTTACTTATGTTCATATATCAACAGCAAAAAGCGTCTTCACTTTTTGTACGGAAAGTGGACGGAGTTTATCAAATGCACTGACATCAATTCCTATGAGGAGTACATGAAAGAGAATGTGCACAAGTTCCGTCGCGAAGGATCTGTGCAGCCAGGCGGCGAACGCAGCAAAAGTCCTGGCGACTCGCCAGCTCATACGCCACGCAAGGTTTTCGCCAAGCTCAATAGCCTTAAAGTCGGCCCTTTCAAATCCATGTCCATGTCCGAGGTAACTTGTAATGATTTTATAAAGGATTGAAATTATACTATATCTTAAGCGGGTACAAAATAATTTAAATTATTTTAAATTTACTTATGCCTTTAATTGCAACATTTAAACTTTTGTAATAATATATAAATTAATTTTATTAACTTCACCGAAAGAGAATTATATGTTATAGCCAGAAAATTCAATTTGGAAAATTTATGTTTTCTCGATGTTTCAAGTCATTCCGAATTGTTTGTGAACAAAATTGTAAAAAGTATGCATGTGCGTGAGACGAAATTTGACCTTTCATCGACATTTTCTCAAAAACTTATGTAACAATCTTATGTAACTAGGTAACTACTACTCGCGTTGTTGCTATGGGTCGTGCTGTTTCTTTGGAGTTTGTGAACAAAATTGTAAAAAGTATGCATGTGCGTGAGACGAAATTTGACCTTTCATCGACATTTTCTCAAAAACTTATGTAACAATCTTATGTAACTAGGTAACTACTACTCGCGTTGTTGCTATGGGTCGTGCTGTTTCTTTGGAGTTTGTGAACAAAATTGTAAAAAGTATGCATGTGCGTGAGACGAAATTTGACCTTTCATCGACATTTTCTCAAAAACTTATGTAACAATCTTATGTAACTAGGTAACTACTACTCGCGTTGTTGCTATGGGTCGTGCTGTTTCTTTGGAGTTTGTGAACAAAATTGTAAAAAGTATGCATGTGCGTGAGACGAAATTTGACCTTTCATCGACATTTTCTCAAAAACTTATGTAACAATCTTATGTAACTAGGTAACTACTACTCGCGTTGTTGCTATGGGTCGTGCTGTTTCTTTGGAATTAAAACGTGCAAAAAAATTGCCCACGTTTTAGCTAGAATTCCTGAACCGATTTTGAAAATTTAAAAACCGTTTGAAAGATATCAGTTGAGAATCGTGCTGATTAGTTGTTTGTAAATATTGGACAAGCTATTATGATGACATTTTGTATGATGATAGGTCATGGTCTTACAGATATCCTAAAATATTGTAGACCTATGGAAAATGGTTTCATTATTAAAATTCATTAAAATTTGGAATAATGAGCCGCGTCCAAATTTTGAAACGTGAAGTTTATGCAATTTGGCTTAAGGCAAAATGCCACTTACAACTACTATAATTATGCAAAACAACTAATATTAAATACATATAATTATTATAATAATTATATAATATTTGCGATATGTAAATTAGTATTTTATTGTATACAATAAAATACTAATTTACATATCGCAAATATTTGAAAAAAATTTATATTTTGAGAAATAACAACATAATCATTTTCTCTGAAAATTATGTATCTTCTTTTCTGCATACAATAGAAAATACTATAACTTTATTTGATTATGATACATTTTGTAATGTTACATTTACCACTGAAAAGTTATTGATACAAAAAGTTAGACATGCAAAAAATATTACACAGATATGTAAGAGTTCTTATTTTTTATAATACGATTTTCACAATTAGCATTGTGTATCATCATTATAACAACAGCATGCGAACAGATAAAATAGATCAAGTGTTAAAAACATTTTATGTGCTTATCTTTACTATATTAATTATTTTTTAAAGGTTGATGATGCTCCTCCTGATTGTCCCGAGGATGGCGATGTGCCAAAATGCGATTCCACGTACTCTATAGACATTCCACATTCATTCACAATTTGGGAAGCTGAACCCAGACCTGCTAATAGTGCTGAAGTAAGATACGTCTTTTGAATTAATTGTATTTATTATATAATTTGAACTAATTTAAGGTATTATTACGTTGTTACTAATTTTGAACAAATCAAAATGTCATATATTTGCTGTGCGATCAGACGTTCTACATATAAAATGCAACTTTACTGATATGTTATTATAACACATCATAAAGATGCAGTTATGATAAGATTATTTTTTGATATTTGTGCGTTTTCTTGATTAGGTGTTCTATCTACAACACCTGACTGCACAGCAACCACATAGCAATTTGGCAATTTTTAGTATCATTTTATATGAGAACCGCTACTTAGCACAGCGTTGCCATAACATTGGTTTATTTTACGGCATTACCGACGCTATGATTCAAATATAAAGTTTACTTGCAATTATTGCATTTCTGTTCGAAGGGTGTAATTTATTGTTGCAAAAAAAATCCATAATTTGTTCAGTACTTTCATAGATTATTTGGCGGTTCAATATCTTTTTGTGATTTATATTTTTTCTGGAATTGTTGTATATTTTCTGTATTATTTGAATGAGAACCAATAATTTCGGTTATGTGCAAATAATAATATGTGCTATAGCATCATAAAAAGTTCAAAATATAAGCAAATAATTATTAACTGATCAATAGGAATTAGACTTAGTCTATTCTCATTAATATATTATTGGTTTTTAATTATTAAAAATTGTGTATAGTTTTTTTAATTATTTTAATGGCAAAATATTTACTGGAAAAATGAGACATCCTTGCAAACCTTAAATTGGCAGATCATATACTAAAATTTGTATACATTATTACACGTAAGAATTTGATGTTTAATTTTGTTATCGTTGATTTTTTTAGTATTATCAGTTCACCTTATTTGCGATGTCGTTGAATGAGCTTGAGCCAGGAATGGCTGACACATTATGCCCAACGGACTCTAGACTACGTCCAGATATACGGAAGTTGGAGTCTGGTGATATCGACGGTGCAGCTTTGGAAAAAACGCGTCTCGAAGAAAAACAACGCGATGCACGCAAAGGACGTAAAGGAAAGAAAGCTCCAGAATGGCAACCAAGGTAAATCAATTTTACAATTGATAAAAGGCAAAACATTCAAAAAATAATTTTCTTTCGTTGCGCTATGAATTCTGTTAACAAAATTGTATAAAACTATAGTCACTATAGTGTCGAAGCGAAATTTTGCTGGAGGCGATTTGCATAAAATTTCTATTATCTGAAAATATTCAAATGTTTAAATAGTCATTTTGTTTAGTGATTACGAAAAAGGGGTTTGACTGATTTTCACATAAGCAAAATACCAATTCACGGATATATATATATTTAAACATTAATTAATGTTTTCAGAATAATAAATATTTTCAGATAATAGAAATTTTATGCAAATCGCTTCCAGCAAAATTTCGCTTTCGTGTAGAATTCCTATCTTGAAGATAATAAATTATAAATGTTCTAATTACAACCTTGCAAATTTATTTTCTAAGCATTTTCATACTATTTGTAAACTTATTATCAGGTGGTTTTGCCAAGGCCCTAATCCACATACTAAAGCCGAGGATTGGCTTTACAGTGGTGGATACTGGGACAGGAACTTCGGTGATCATCCCAACGAAGATATTTTTTAAGTCATTATGTTCAGGGACCTGAAATTGACGAAATCGATATTTGCCCTAAACCAGTAACTGAATGTCTTCTTAAGCCTATACAAACCCACTTATTTGTACGATATAATAATCATATTTAGTGAAAATCAAAATTTGGTTTTAGAAATCGTTATTTATTGCTGCTATTCATAATTTCACAAATTCAGTTCAACAATACGTTTTTAGTTTTTGGTGCAAATTTATCAAATAACATCACAAGAAATTTGGTTTTCATTACCAATTACATCATAAAATTAATTATTTAAATTAAAATTTAATTAAAAAATAACATATGTTATTTAATATTAAGTTAATTGAAACAGGAACAATGCTTAGTTATTTTTGATGATTAAATTAATAACTATTGATGAAATATCAGTTATATAAATTATATAATAGATTAAATGTGATTAAATTAATAACTATTGGTAAAATATTAGTTATATTATTAGTCAATTTCATAAGCAATTTACATGCAATAGAGACCTATATTAAAAATTCTTACATATGATATTAACTTAAATTTAAAACTTGAATAAGTGATAAATAATTATTTTAAATTATTATTTAAATTATTAGAAACGAATTGTTTTTCTGACGACTTCTTTGGACTGGAATTTTTGCATCGTTATGGAAAGAGTGTACTAAATGTACTGATAATATTTGATAAATGCTTTCAGATGTTTATATTTATTTATTATATGAAATAGAATCATGATTAAAGAAGTTTTTTTATTATGAAGTTTTTGAAATAGATTTTTGAAATCTTTAGTTTATATAAAGTTCCAACAAAAACTATATCGGAGAATTTACACCAAAAAATTAAATACTGTGGAGATTTTGTGGAGTCATACATTTTACATTCATGCAATTTGATTGTTATTATACTTTTGTTTTATTTTTGATATGCTTTTTACTCATTCCAATCAACGTTAAATGCTTAATTTGTGATATTTTGTTTATATATAGTATATTTACCTAAAAAAGACTAAATATAAATGAATAAATTATATCAAGAATATATTTCAATATATTTATGTTAAGATATCTATAACGTTTTAGTACCTAATGTTATAAAAATAGTTTAAGACAAAAAATTTCAGCATTTGGTGCAATTATAGCACTATACCGATTATTTTTGAAAACCATATTTTCGGACAGTCAATGTGCCAAATTATATATTTATCTATAATATTCCAGTAAACTACTAATAAATAAATAAATAAACAATGAAGCCTTGCAGAAAAGCTAGTTTGACAATCTATGGCTTAGACAACATAGAAAAACTGTATTTTAATTAAAATATAAGATTATGAAAACTAGAATATCTCTTGTATGAAAAATTAATATAAATGCTTTTCCAATATACCACATAAACAAAAACTAATTAAGCCATCATTACAGATGCAAAACTAAAAAAAAAAAAATATATGGAAAATTTACATTGAATGGAACTAATATGATTTTTATTTAAGCGCAGAAACATTAGAAACAAAATTTAGAACTCTTAAAAACAGTCGTGCTAAAAATATGGTTTTCAAAAAAGCAACTTCTTGTTAATTATTTTGTTACATTTTATTACTGATATGATTTAATCAAACAAACAGAAAAACAATATAATTTTTTACTTATTACTTGATAAAAAAATATATATCTCTACTTTCTTGTCATGTTAGATAAATTAAAAATTTATAGCATTTATCAATGTATAGTTGAAATATTTGTATAGTATATTAAAAAGTATTTCTATAGGAAAATATTATATTATACGATACTTGTAGTATCTGGAGTTATAGTTGGTATTACTAGAAAAGTTGTGCAAAACTGTGTATATATCTCTCTACAAACTTTAATGTCAAACTCGTTCTATATATATTAAGTTATTTTAGCTTTATTGTCAGTTTCATATTATTACTTTTGTTACGTTTTTGAATATTTTATTGTATATACTATTATGCTTATTATTAACCCACCATAGAAATATGAAATAAATAATAATATGCAGAGATAAAAATATCTGAGTTTTTACAATTTTTTTTATAAGTTATATATTTCATTCAAATCATTATTACATAATGTAGTATAATAAATTAAAAAATGTATGAAAAAAGTCATGACAAGCTTTAGATGTAAATAAGTGAAGCTGCATTTTTCAATTAAAAATTAAATTATCATTCCATATTATATTATATTTAGAATTGCTATTATTTATTTCTAACCAATAAGTTGTATTTAATAATCAAATTATACAGTATTCAGTTGCAGAAAAAATTTAATTTAAACATTAAATTCACAGCAGCATTTACTAATTATCTATAATACTATCAGAAAATAATAATGCGGATTTAAATTATCCATTTCATAAATCCCAGAAATCAAGTCCTTGATAATTCTCCGCTTCCCATGATCCTAGTTGAAGAACTTCTCCAGGATTCACCATTAAATCCACAATGTGACTGGGTCGAAGAAGTTTGATTGAAAGCCACTCTTCGGTGCTCTAAAAATAAATTTTAGAAATAGAAATATAAATAATAAATATTATATTAGCAAAGCATAAATGACGTTATAAGTGTGTTAGATTAGATTAGAATTGTTATTCCATAATTATTTATCAATTTGCCAAATTGGAATCAATTGTAGAATTGAAATATTCAATTAAGTTATATATAAACACTAATTTATGAGCTTTCATATTCACAGTGGATCAACCTATTTATAAGTATTGAATTCTTTTGCAGTTGTTTTATGCATTAACTTTTTTTTACTATAATGATTGAATGTTGCACCAATCGTTTTGGAAATGTTTTATATTGATTACCATATGTATAGAAACACTTAAAAACTACAAAAAATATGACGAAGATACGCAAATTTTGAATCAAACATCCGCACCATAAATAAAACAATATCTTTCGGATTTTTTTAATTTGGCTAATATGTGAACATAAAATTTTCTGTTAATTTTAAAGAAACGGCTCGTCGATCGTCGAGCGAAACTAATCAACGCTGGATATAATAATCTTTTCATTCGCGAAGGTAAATATAACTATATTTATCTATTATTATAAATAAATAACTATATTTATAATAATATTATCAAAAGAATAAAAATAATAAATTTAATTAGAGTTCATATAAATGTATTGAAACAAATTTTAAGAAAAAAAATTAATGTACCCCCGGCGGGACTCGAACCCGCAATCCCCGGCTTAGGAGGCCGATGCCTTATCCATTAGGCCACAGGGGCTTGCGTAAACGATTCAAAAGTAAGCAATTTAAATCCTAATTTTTGTTTGTTTTGGGTTAGAATATGTAAATTCGTTAAACAAGCGTCACAATGATTTTTCTTCCGAATTCATTGAAGTATTTCATTATTATAAATTTATAAATTCAAAGTTACTTCAGTATTATAAGTGTATTTTGTAACAGGTTATAAAATTATATTTAGTTAGTATAGCCTGTCATGGATTTATTTTTTTTCAAAGGTCTTGTATACTTTGTCTTGGTATGTGTTTTGATTTATCCCTATTTTTTGATGTCTTCAGTTTAATTACAAAAATATTATTTTTGGAAAGGGTTTTATTTAAATTTTATATGTGATCTGTGCGATTTTTTTATGGCTATTGCCAATGAGAATGATGAAATAGTGCAAGATGGCTTGAATATACTCTTTTATGACAGGCAAAATGGTACAATAATTAAAACATTTCTTTCACAAGAAGCAATATTTGAGTAATGGAGAGAAGTTTATAAATGTATAATCATATGTGATGTTTCAGCAATCATTAACGTTTCAAAAATTGACACATTACTTCATAAACTTATTACAGGAGACATGTGGTTATTTCAAAGGGTGATTGTCACTTATATCATCATTTCCATGCTTACAACTTCGGAATTTTATTTATATTCTGTATAAGCATTTCTATCGACTATCCAGGTTTATCATTTTTTTATAATAACTATGTTATTTATCTGCTTGAAATGCATTTACAAAACTAGCAATTCATAACAGCAGAACTTATTTGATAATCAATACCCCTTACAATTTCAGATTGAGCTTCTCAATAGAATCAAAAATAACATTTTGAAAACTATGTTCTGTTGTGTTTTCAACAACTTGATATAAACCTTGTTTTAATAAATTGTCTTCTAGATTTTAAGCTAGTTCTAGGTTAATGGAGAATGTATGATGTTTTCATCTAAAGCACTCTCTCTCTCATAACAACAGAAGAAAAATGTCTTAGGGAATAGACCAAGCAGCAATATTGCTATAGTTCAGGCTTACGCCAGTTGTTAAAGTAGTTCAGGTGCTGATGTCAGGCTGTAAATTAGTGCTGCTGCTAATGCACAGCTTTAAATTAGCACGGCTATTGATGTCCAGCTGCAAATTAGAGTGGTGATTGATGTACAGCTGTGAATTGTTATGTCTGGTCCAGCTATGAATTAGAATGGTTATTGTCCACTTGCAAATTATAGCATTAGTGTCTTGTCCAGCTGTGAAATAGTATAAATATTGATGTCCGGCTGTGAATTAATGTACCAATGCAAATTAATTTGACTGCTGATGTCCAGCTGTAAAATACTATGGTTTGTTGTGATGTCTAGCTTGTTGCTCCATAATTTACTGGTATAGGGCTTGAAGAGCTCTATTATTATATATAGCTATTTGTTGCTCTTGTTGTTCGACTCAAGCAGCCTTCATATTCTTCAGTGGAATAATTTCAGTCCACTTAATAATTCGATTAATGTATCCAACAATGTAGGATTTAATATAGTTGAATTTATAACCTGCATCTTTGTTTTCAGATAACTTGATATATGAAAATGATAGTATTTCAACATATTATTTTTTCCAATCAATTCAGACATTTATGAAGTACATAAATATATTATTTCATTCATCTGACCCTAAATAAGATTGGTATTGACACAACGTCTTTGTACAAAAGCGAATTTAATGCACAAATTGATGTGGTCAATAAATCTTTTTTCTTCTAGGTGAACAAACAGATATAAAGTTTATACGGTTCATCAGTCATAGTGGACTGAATAATCAAATTGTTTCATTGGTAAATTTTTAGGACTTCACGAAAAGTCACAAAAGAATGACTATTGATGTCCACTTACAAATTAGAGCAGGTATAAATTAGTGTGTCTGGTCCAGCTGCGAATTATTATAAATATTGATGTCCGGCTGTGAATTAATGTGCCAATGGAAAATACTGTGGCTGCTGATGTTCAGCTCTGAAATAGTATGGTTTGTTGCGATTTCTAGCTTGATGCTTCATAATTTACTGGTATAGGGCTTGAAGACCCCTATTATTATATATAGCTATTGTTGTTTGACTCGAGGAGTATTCATATTCTTCAGTGGAATAATTTCAGTCCACTTAATAAATCTATTAATGTATGTGTGTGAAAATCCAACAATGTAGGATTGAATGATTGATGTGAACTTGATATATAAAAATGATAGTATTTTAACATTTTTCCCATCATTTCAGACACTTATGAACTAAATATATTATTCCACTCATCTGATCTTAAATAAGATTGGTATTCACAAAGCATCTTTGTACAAAAACGAATTTAAAGCACAAGTTGATGCTAGTGGTCAATAAATCTTTTTTCTTCTAGGTAAACGAACAGTTATAAAGTTTATACAGTTAATCAGTCACAGTGGACTGAATAATCAAATTGCTCAAGTCGTAAATTTTTAGGACTTTACAAAAAGTCTGAAATGGAAATATGATGCTATAATAAAAAATTAAGTAAAGTGGAAATGCGGAAAATCCAGAATAAATGTATAGAATTTCATTTTATGCCTGTTGACACAAATTATTCATTTTTGAGGTGAAATATTCTTTGAAAAGTACTTCAAACAATAAAATTGATTTTTTGCTATGATTCTGATTACTAATTAAATAATTTAGGTTTTTTGTTTTATATATTATATATTTGTAATTCACTATGGAATTCATATATATATATATATATATATATATATATATATTTAATTTGAGTTTAATATTCGGGCGTAACATCAATAAAAATAATAAAAATTTCTATTTTTATTGATGTTACGCCCGAATATTAAACTCAAATTAAACATATATATCAACATCAAATTCAAGACTATTCAAATATATATATATATATATATATATATATATATATATATATATATGTTTGTGTGTAGGTTCTTGCATGGTGATACATCACATAAGAGGTAAAGATTTGTAAATTATTTTTTTCACAAGTTTTGACATAAATTTTATGTTATCATTGGTATCCTAAACACAATAAATGGGTACAAAGCATATAAGTCAGCATTTATATACTAACTTGTCATTAACAGTCTTTTTTTTTTGTTTTACGTAGAGCGAAGGAATATAGCAAAGTTGTCTAACAAAAATAATTCAGATGAAATGCAAAATATTTCTACAACAGCAACTTGTAACTACCAATGGATTTCATGCTTGAATCTAGATTTGAACAACCTTTCTATATTCCATTACTCTACATAAAACAATAGAATTGTCTTTGTTACTGACAAGTTAGTGTATGGATGGTAGTGCTAACTTATGTGCACTCTGTGATTAAAACATCAATGCCTAATATCCAAAATTCTATGTCGAAATGTTTGGAAAAATTAAAGATTAATTTATAAATTTTTTTCTTGCGTTTTTTGTTTCACCTTTGAAGTACCTACCATATATCTCAACATCAAAATTGCATATAAAGCACGAAAAGAAAAGGTATCCATTGAAATGTATATCAATCAATCATTTCATTCTAAAATATTAGCGCAGACATCTTGATCACTTCAGTTTCCTCATGAACAGGAATGAATTAATATATTTTAAAAAATATAACAAAAGTAATAATTATTAACATTTTCCAGATTTCCAATGTAGTCATTTATTTCCATATGATTTCAGTCAAACATTTATTTTGTCCACATTCATCAATTGTAAAAATGGTAAAGAGTATAAGAACTGAATATAAGTTTTCTTCGTATTGAAATACATAGTATGTCTGTTTTGGCTCTATAGAAAACCAAAAGCAATGTAAGAAATAATTTTTCCCGACAGATTTAAAATTTTTGTATGTATAGATTTAAATTCAGTCTATCTTTAAGTTGAGTTCAAGAGTTTCGATAGAGCAAAAATGTTATATTGAAAGCTTGATTGAATTTCCTATTTATTACCTACAAACCTCAAGTATTTTGAAATTTTAATACTTTTCAATATTAAACTTCATTTAATAGTATATTTGAAGCTGCTAGTGCTTATGTCAGAAATGATTTAAAGGCATTTAATGTTGTAATTATAAATTTAGATTTGTATTAAATATTCTCATTGGAGGGTTTAGTTGTTATTAGACATCTGGTTTGACTGTTTTTCTTGTTAACAAAAAGTCACGCTCTATGATTAAGGTTTTTAGTTGCATATGATGAGTAATCTTCGAAGAAAAAATTGTCACATGAAGACA